GTGTTTGTGGGGTGCAAACAAGTTCCCTGGCAGGAACTCTTCCCTTTGGGATTTTGGCTGGGGGAAGGGTGAGGGAGATGACACTGGAGAGCGCCTTTGTTCCCCACCAAGCTGAGCTCTGTCGTCCAGGTCTCAACAACTCTCCCTATAGTTGTCCTCCAGCCCTCCCGGTCTCCGAGCAGAGCTGTTAGCTTATAACCTTCCAGATGTCAAGTCCCGCTTGCTGTGTGAACACATTCCGTCGGGCCCCTCCGCTTTTGCAAGCCAGAGTCGGGGGCTGTGCTTGGCCGGTGGGCCCCCCTCCGCTCCAGCTCCCTCCCGCCAGTCCGTGGAGTGGGTACCGCCTCGCCGCCCTTCCTACCCTCTTCCGTGGGCCTCTCGTCTGCGCTTGGCTCTGGAGACTCTGTTCTGCTAATCCTCTGGTGGTTTTCTGGGTTATTTAGCCAGGTGTAGGTGGAATCTAAGTGATCAGCAGGACGCACGGTGAGCCCAGCGTCCTCCTACGCCGCCATCTTCCCAGAATCATCCAGTGAGTATCTTTATGATCATTACTATAAATTCTTGGGGCGCCTGGGTGGCGCAGTCGGTTAAGCGTCCGACTTCAGCCAGGTCAAGATCTCACGGTCCGTGAGTTCGAGCCCCGCGTCGGGCTCTGGGCTGATGCCTCGGAGCCTGGAGCCTGTTTCCGATTCTGTGTCTCCCTCTCTCTCTGCCCCTCCCCCGTTCATGCTCTGTCTCTCTCTGTCCCAAAAATAAATAAACGTTGGAAAAAAAAATTAAAAAAAAAATTCTCTATCAGGCATATCATTTATGTTTTTCTTAGTTCTTTGCTTTGGTTTGATACTTTTATTTGGGACATATTTCTCTGTGTCCTCATTTTTTCTAACTCTGTGTTTGTTTCTCTGTGTTAGCAAAGCTACTTCAGCTACTTCTTTTGTACTTAATGATAATAACCTTACAAAGAAGAAGTCCTAGAGTACCGTGCAGTGCAATGTCCCTTGTCCCCTAGGCCTTGGCACTTCAGGGAACATCACCTATTTGTGTTAGATATGCTCTGTTTTGAGTCTTGGCATCTTTCCTTCAGTCCAGTTGTGTGTACAGGCTATCATTGCCTATTGTGGGCAGTGTTTGGTCCCCAACAGGGGTGGGGTGTACATTAACAAGGTGTGTGGTGGTGGTCCGCTTGCAAAATGAGACCTGCCTCCACTGCTGCTGGAATTGAGTTTGCAACTAAGTTCAGGAGAAGTGGTGTCAACAGGGTTTATACTGTTATTCCACGGAGGGAGCCTGTAGTGCTAGGTACGACTAGGGACTAAGGTGAGCATGACTGGGAAGGGTGGATTTGTGGAAGCTAGGGACAGGAAAGGGGTTTAGGGTAAACAAATTGTGTAAGAGTGTGGGTACTATGCTCTTTACCACAGGTGGCTGTTCTTTATGCTGTGTTTGTGTGGTGTGGGGAAATGGCAATTGCCAGCTCCTTTATTCTTGGAGGGATCTCCATGTGATCCCTCTCTGCCCCTAGTGTTTTTCAAACAGCTTGTTCTACACTGTATCTGCACTTGCTGTTTGTTATGCTGTCTCTTTAAGGGTGTGGACCCCCACTTCCTAAAGCCTTCCCAGCTCTCCCAGAGCCAAGCTCACCAATTTTTAGAATTCCAAGATTTAAGTCCCTCTGGTTTTAAGAACTCATGAAATTTGGCCCTTCTCACTTTCAAAGGCACATATTCTGGTGATTCGTCCTCCCTATAGATGGGCTGCTCAGTGTAAAAACTTATTTTTAGCTCTTCTTCACACCACCAGCTCTCTCCCCTCTGTGGATAGTCATTGTTTGTTTTGCTCCAAGATGAGAACTTCACCTTCCTACTTTCTTCCATGTGGCTTCTTCTTTACCATTAGTTGTGGAGTTTATTCTGCTAATCTTCAAAGTGTTTTCTGGGTTATTGACACTGATATAAGTAAGTGCTCTAGTTTTGTTTGTGGGACGAGGTGAGCTTTGGGTCCTTCTACTGCACTGTCTTCACAGAAACTGGTTCATTGAACTTTTCATTTCCATGGGACATTTATGGTGGTTTTATGCAAATCTACATTTTTACAGGGGGAAATTCTTTATTAATATGATTTAGTGAAAAGCAATTTCAAGCAATTATGTTACTATGATCTTAGTAAATTCACAGCGTAATTGTTAAAGTCAAAAGACATTACCAAAGTAATAAAATTACCATCTAACTGAATATAGTAATAGGATGAGAATTATGTCTATTCATTAACTAAAATTATCCAATTTGAGGTATAGGGAGGTGAGAGCAGTGATCAAAGAACCATAAAAATATCATCACCCAAAAACAATTTTCTCTTTAAGTTATAAGTGTCGTTTACTTGCTTATATTTCAAAAACTGCATTTTGTTTATTTTGAAAAGCCTACTGAGCAGCTCACAAGCCCTTGTCCCTAGAGTGGTTAACCAATCGGGCTCAATATCCTCATCCTTTCTTTTCGATTCTATCAAAGTTGAAAAGCAACACAAAAATCCCAGGAGAATAGCTTCAGTTATGAAAGCCAGCTTACTTGTATAGCTGAGGGGAATCCCATAGGGTCTTGTACAAAATATTTCATATAGTATATGTTTCTATCCATAGATAACTTATTTTTTATTAGGCCATTTTTGTGGTTTTGTTTCTTGTTGCTCTAAATATCATTACAGTGAATTGAATCATTGACACTTCTTAGAGAAAGTAAAATCGCATTTTTAAAAAATACTCTTTTTCCTATGTTTAAAAGATGGAAATTACATAATATTCACACATTAAAATGACAAGGAATTATCAGATCTAGAAATGTTTGTCCTTCAATACCAAAAATGTATTTCTGTTTAAGAAATAGTTCTTAAACAGAAATACATTTATTTTTTTTTTTTGGATTTGTATTTTCTTAAGCCTATCTGCTTAAGAAATTTTGCCTTTCAATATAACTTTGTGACTATAAAGGAAGGGCATGTAAGTGAGGTCAAGGTTCAGGCCCCTTCGCTACAATACTATTAAATAATTTTGGAAAAAACAGTTTCCTATTCACTATGCTGAGAGCTACTATTATCTGCACTTTGTTTCACAATAGGCTTATAATTCATTATAATCTATGTTCAATTGCTCCAGAAACTTAAACTGCCCAAATAAGGCTTCCTGCTCATTTTCCAACCATCATGTCACTCTTCTACCAATAGATTCTACCATAAACACACAAATAGTACACTTGGCAAATATTGAATTTCATATCCATCTTGGATTCACTTTCAAAAAAGTGAAAAAATAGGAGCACCTGAGTGGCTCAGTCAGTTAAGTTTCCTACTCTTGATTTTGGCTCATGTCACGATCTCACAGTTGGAGCAAGAAATCATTGGATGGAGCCCTGTGTCTGGCTCTGTGTTGACAGAGCAGACCCTGCTTGGGATTCTGTCTCAAAAATAAGTAAACTTTTAAGAAAGTGAAAAATAAAGCTATAATTTAAAAATTTTTGAAATAGTATTTAAATATTACTGATTTGAAGGAAAACATAGAATATGTGACACAGAAACTGAATAATAAATATTCAAGGACAATTTTTTAAATGGAAATTTAACCAAAATTTTATAAAATTAAAAAGAGATTTAACACATCCATGCTCTTTAGTAATACTCTCTTCTCAAGAAGAATAACTAATGTAGTAGAGTTACTTTCTGTATCCCATGAATGCTGACAAGTGTTTCTGTGTGTTTTAATTCTGCAGGTGTATGTATTCTAGAAGAAATCTTTAGTTTCTACATTTGCTTCCTGTTGTGGTTGGTTAGTTATAAGGAATCAAGACTGATCCAGGTAATTTTTAAATTTCTATTAAAGTATAAAAGTATACATTATCATGTGTCAAGAACTTTTTATCTAAAATATGCGACATTTACTACATATCTTATGTGGCTATTTTAATGTCAAGAAATGTGAAGAGTTTATAAGAACATTTTTCTAGATATGTCTATTGAGGCAAGGGAAATAAAAGCAAAAGTAAACTATTGGTACTACATCAAATAAAAGGCTTCTGCACAGCAAAGGAAATAATCAACAAACTAGAAGTCAACATACTGAATGGGAAAATGTATTTATAAAAGACATATCCGATAAAGGGATAGTATCTAAAATATATAAAGAACTGATACAACTCAACAACCAAAAAATAAAAATCCAATTAAAAATGGGCAGAGGATATGAACAGACATTTCTCCAAAGAAGACATGCAGATGGCCAACAAACACATGAAAAGATGCTCACCATCACTGGGGAAATGCAAATCAAAATCACAATAAGGTATCACCTCAGACCTGTCAGAATGGCTGAGAAACAAGTGTCAGTGAATATGCAGAGAAAAAGGAAACCTCACACACTGTTGGTGGGAATGAAAACTAGTGTAGCCACTGTAGAAAACACTATGGAGGTTCCTCAAAAAACTAAAATAGAACTACCCACATATGATCCAGTGATCGCACTACTGGGTACTTACCAAAGAATATGAAAACACTCCTTAAAAAAGATATATACACGTTATATACTCACACACACATACACACAATGGAATATGATTCAGCCATAATAAGAATGAAATCTTGCCATTTACAACAACGTGGATGGATCTAGAGAGTACAATGCTAAGTGAGAAAGACAAATACCATATGATATCATTATTTTCTGTAATTTAAGAAACAAAACAAATTACCAAATGGAAAAAAAAAGACAAACCAAAAGAGGTTTGGTTGAGCCAAAAAGGCTCAACTATAGAGAACCAGCTAATGATTACCAGATGGAAGGTTGGTTAGGGAATGGGTAAAATAGGTGATAGGGATTAAAGAGTACACTTATCTGGACAAACACTAATATATGGGATTGTTGTGTCACTCTATTATACATCTGAAGCTATTATAATGCATGTTAAATATAAGGGAATTAAAATTTAAAAAATAATGTGAAGGGTCTGAGATCTTACCATATGCTCAAGCTAGCAAGTTAGCATGCCAGGGTTTTTGTGAGGCCCCTGAGGAAGAAACAAAGGTCATTTTATCGTTGACAGCAGTGGTAGTAGCTAAAATATGGTCATTTACAATATTTTGTTAGCCTCATTTTCTACAAGACCATGCAACAAGACCCAGTGACATCTGCACATGCAATGGGTTGTGTTAGCGGAGAGGAACTCTGAACTTTGAGAATCCCAACCTTTTGTAAAAGGCTGCAAGCAAACCTATTAAAATTTTTTCCTAGATGGAAGCATTACCTTTATTAAACTAATCAGGTAAGGTATCTCTCTACCCTGAAGGGAGCTATTTCTGTCCTTTCAAAGCCATTTCTGTATTACCATCTCTGAAAAGACTGAAAAAAAAAAAAAAAAAGGGTAGCCAGTGTCTCTCCTCACACAACGTGGAGAAATGCAAAGGATTCACAAAGAATTGTCTCACAACTATAAGTTACAGTTCATTTTGTTTTCATACTGAACACTACCATGTAACTGGCAGGTCAAGAAATGAACATTACCAGCATCTCTGAAACCCCTTTCATTTCCCCTTCCTTCCACCCTTCCCCCACCAAGTATAACCACTATCCTGAAATATAACAGCATAAATTGCTTATTTTTTGTACTTAAAATATTAAGTGAAAAAAGATCATATACTATGTACTCAGTCATGTCTGCTTTGTTCATTCATGATTTGAATTTGTATGTATTGTGAAACGATCACTGCAATAAGTCTAGATGCCAAATATACTACACATTGTTATAGAATTGTTTTGTCTTGTGATCCGAACTTTTAAGATTTAGTATCTTAGCAACTTTCAAGTATGCATTATAGAATTAACTATAGTAACTATGCTATATATTATATTTCTATGACTTATTATTAGAATTTTGTATCTTTTGGCCCTCTTTACCCCTGTCTATAGGTGTTGATGTTCATTGCTGTATAAACGTTACTGAGTAGCTAAAACACCTCTTTCATTTGGTAGTTTCTAATTTTGTCTATAATGAATGTACATTTTGTGACATTTAGAGACCATTTAGTTATTTTGTACTCATTCTGTTATCACCACACAATAAAGCAATATTTCTGGTTTTTTGCAAGAAAAATTGAACACTGTGACTTTTCTTTCGAGAATATCTAACATGTATTGCAAAACTTTCTTCACTCTTGAAATCTAGTAGCTCATGGGGTCCAAATGATTATTTTGGCATATAGTTAAAAGACACTAACCAAACATATCCTTGAAGTCACCCCATACTAGGGTTGTCTTTTGTCATGAAGCAAATATATGAGTATTAGACAATAGTGCCTACTCTATCATAAGACTATGTGACAAATATTTGCCACAGCAGAGTGTAAGTAATGCCCATAATGCACCCTAAATGAGGACGTATGTTGAAAAGATATGATTATGCTGTCTTATTACTAAGACCATTAGTTTTAAAAAAATCACTAGATTTAAAGTTAAATATCATGGTATATGATGGTATATATTTCATGGTATATCATGAAAACATCATGGTATATATCTTAGAAATTGTGATAGGTCTTAAATATGCAATTTTCAGGATTTATTAAAATAACTTTTGTGTAACCCTGATCTTCTAAAGTTTGTTTACTTTTGTTTGTGTTCTATATAGAACAAAATATCATTTATACTGTAAAACATAGGGTTGGGAAGAACCCCATCAAAAGATCCTTCTTTTTAAAAAAATTTTTTTTTCAACGTTTTTATTTATTTTTGGGACAGAGAGAGACAGAGCATGAACGGGGGAGGGGCAGAGAGAGAGGGAGACACAGAATTGGAAACAGGCTCCAGGCTCTGAGCCATCAGCCCAGAGCCCGACGCGGGGCTCGAACCCACGGAGCGCGAGATCGTGACCTGGCTGAAGTCGGACGCTTAACCGACTGCGCCACCCAGGCGCCCCCAAAAGATCCTTCTATAAATATAAACAACAATATACAGACATTGTAAAAGAGATACTGGTGTAAAATATACCAAATGACACTATTATTCAAATGCTTTTCTTTGTTTTAAATATTTTATCCTTTTAGACATCATAATCTTCACAATAAATCAATAAGTTAGGAAAAGTAGGTTCAGATGCTTTTCTTTCAAAATATCTAAAGTGGTTCTTGAAAATTGGGACTTCATTAAATGAAGTGATTAGTGATAGCTTTAATTATACCTTAAATTTCTGGAATGTTTTGGCTTATAATATATACTCTATTCCAGGTCTTGTTAATAGGTCCTCCCAATAAGTACTAATGCATGCTTATTTGTATTTACATGTATTGCTAATTCTAGAATTCTTGTTGCTATGTCCCATGTACCAACAATGGGGAGATACCTGCTTCTAACTACCTTGTACTTATTGCTGGCTTGACCTATTGTGTCTACCCTAATCTCTGTAAAATCTTTTTCCTTTACTGGTCTACAGGTAGATTAATTTACACCTCCATGTTGTTACATACTATGCTAGATTTATAGTCATGCTGCTTACTTTTATAGTTTATTTTTAACAATCTCAGAATATATGGTGTGGAGCACCTGGGTGGCTCAATCGGTTAACCATCCAATTCTTGGTTTTGGCTCAGCTCATGATCTCATGGTTCATGAGTTAAAGCCCTGTGGTGGGTTCTGCATCGACAGAGTGGAGTCTGCTTGGGGTTCTGTCTCCTTCTTTCTGTCCCTACCCCATATGGGCTCTCTCCCTCTCAAAATAAATAAACTGTAAGAAAAAAAATACAGAATAGTACTTCTCAAGGGAACTGGATGAGAAAATTATAACTATAAAACATACCATCTGAAATTTTCTAGTGTTGAATTTACACCCACAACTTATATAAGAAATAATTTATCTCTTAATACCATGAGTTGAAAAGATAAATTCATGCACTTACATGAAAGGGTTTAAAAATGAAACTGTTGCTTGCTTTTAATCAGATTTAAGGCCACAGTCCTGTTTGGCAGTCATTCTCATAAGTGCTGGGAATAAATATGTTAGTCATCAGACATGAACCCAAAAGCCTCACAGACTAGAGGAATAAAAATTAACATTTGTATAGTGCCTGACATTCTACTCACACCTTCATGTAATTCAACTCAATAATATGACGAAATTATGATAAATTGTTATTCTTTTCATTTATGAAGAAATGGAGACTGAGAAGTGTCTTAAACTACTAGTTCACAAATTTAGTAAAAGTAAAACTTGGTCATGACTAAACCCCAGTTTTTCCTCTAAATCAAGTAAATAAACAAAAACAAGACCATATGGGTTCCACAGATACCTTCTAAGTGGTGTGGATTATTCCAGTCCTCAGAGAATTTGATATACTCTGTTATTTCTTCCTATTGTTATTTTTGGTAAAAATAATGTTTTGTTTAGATCAATTTTCTTGTCAGCTACTGGCTACAGTGAATCCAGGCAGAATCAGGATCGCATCCTAGGTATGTCCAGAAGAGAGAGAGAGAGAGTTTGATGTTTAGTCTGTTCATTTTGCTCAACTTTAAAATGATACCCTATGGGGGTGCCTGGGTGGCTCAGTTGGTTGGGTGTCTGACTTTGATTTTGCCTCAAGTCATGATCTCATGGTTGGTGAAATCGAGCCCTTGACAGGCTCCATGCTGGTACTGAGGAGCCTACTTGAGATTCTCTGCCTCCCTCTCCCTCTAACTCTCCCCTGCTCCCACTCACTCATTCTCTAATAAATAAATAGATAAATAAATAAATACATAAACACATAAATAAAGTATACCCTATATAGAAATTACAGTATTCTGGGCAGATATAATAATTACTTTTGAATCCATAAGTCAGAAAAATTCTATGAAATTGAGTAAAGAACACTTTAACATTAGACTGCTTCTAGTCACATTATTACTAATGTCCAATCATAGGAATTGTTACACTCAAAAGTAGAGAAGACTTACATTCATGAATACTAAAAATCCTAGTCCAAATGAGACTCAATATCTTTAATATAATTTTAGATAGGCAAATCGACAGGCTAACTTGAAATATTTTTGAGAGAAATATTATTTTATATGTAACTCAAGACAAAAAAAAGTTAATTTAGAATGATTGTCCCAAGAGGAATGTTATTTACACAAGAGTTATTAAAATGCAGATTTATTGCACATTAACCAGTTTTTCTTACAAGGTATGCTAAATTTCACTTGAGTTTCATTTAGTGGAAACAAATGTTTGCCTCTGACAATTTCTACTTTAAATTTCATTTCAGGCATTTAATAGAACCAGCTCTCATATTTTTTTTTCTATGAAGCAGATATAAATCTTCTTCATCTCACAGATCTTGAGAAGGTCCATCAATTGTGGGACTTATTTAAATGTTAAACACATCATTTTATTTCATAGTCTAATAACTTGCTCAGAGAAGTTAAATAGTTGATTTAATCTCAGTTCTCATTTTACTTTTCTGAAGAAACCTTTCCTAATCTTCCTAGGTAAATATCTTGCACATGGCTATGTTTTCCTACTGTGCCTTACATTTTCCTAGAAGACAACCTGTCACATTGGATTATATCTAGTGTTTTATTTATGCTCTTTTATACCATGAGCTCTTAAAAGGGAAAGTTTGATCATTATTTATTATATTTTAAAAGCTTCTTCTGCTTGTAATTTTTTAAAGATGGGTTCAAGATTGATAACCCCCACAGTACTGGCTAATTATTGCTGCATAACAAATCATTCTAAAACATAGCAACTTAAACAGGAATATTTATTATCTTACCATGTTTTCTTTGGACCAGTAATTCATGATTTGCATTCTAGGTCTCTAAGAAGGCTGAAATAAACAGGTGTCTGGAATGTGGCCATCAGAAGTTTCCAAGGTGGTTCACTTACAGGGCCTTGGCAGAATGCCTCAGGTCTTAATTATGTGGCTCTGCCAACAGGACTGCAAGAGTGTCTTCATGACATGGCAGCCTGCTTTCCCCAAAATGAATGATATAAAAGAAGGAGGAAGCAATGGTGACTTATTATCTAATGCCAGAGACACCATATTACTTGCATTAGAAGTCTGTCATTCAGTCCAGCTCACATACTTAAATGAAGTAGATTAGTGGTAGATTTGGCTCTAACTTTGTAGGGAATTGTATTAGAATTTTCCAGAGAAATAATACCAATAGGAGTGTCTCTCTCTCTCTCTCTCTTTCTCTCTCTTGTGTGTGTGTGCATGCATGTGTCTAGTAGAGAGAGAGGTTTATGATAAGAATTGACTCACGTAAGTATGGAGACTCAGAAGTCCCATGATCTGTTGTCTTCAAGCTGAAGAACTAGGAAAGCTGGTGGTATAATTCACTCCAGGTCCTTTAAAGGTCCAAGAGCCAGGAGTGTCAATATCTGAGGGCAGAAAATGGATGTCCTGGCTCAAGCAGAAAGCAATTCACCCTTCATCTGCCATCTTTGTTCTGTTCAGACTTCAACAGATTGGATGACATCCACCTGAAAGAGCCAGGATGATCTTTACTCAGTATGCAGATTCAAATGCTAATCTCTTCCAGAAACCCCCTCACAAACATATCCAGAAATGTTTTACAAGCTTTCTCTTATCATTTAGCCCAGTCAAGTGGACACATAAAATTAATTGTCATAGGCGTGTCAAAAGATTAGTGGATGTATTTTAAACCACCACATTCACCAACCTCCTATTACAGATAAATCCTTGCTTTAAAGGCCTTCAGCTTCATATTCATAACTGGTCTTCTTCACAAGAATACTAGATGGGGTAATGTGTAAACTCATGGATACCTTTAATTACATTTAATTTTAAAAAGTGGATTTGAGTCCTGTACTCAGCCTCAGTTTTTCCTTTAGTGATCTATAAAAGTAGTTACAAGATATATATGAGAATTAAATGAAGCAATACATGAAGTGTTAACACTGTGCTACAAAAAATAAATGTTAATGACTAGTATTATCATTATGGTCATAAGCAGATTTGAAGAGCATCCACCATATACTTTTCTCTGTTTAGATCCTGCCTCAATTTTGTTTCTACCCATCACAAAGGCAAAATTTCCTGTTTGTGTACAGCCCTAGAGTCTTTCCACACTGACTGAATGAAATATAACAAAGAAGAGATTATATGGAAGAACTGAACTTTTTCCAGTTTAATTATCCCACTGGGAAGTAGCTTCCTTATTCTGAAGTTTCCATTTTGTTCTTTTTTAAATATATTTACTTATTTTGAGAGAGAGAGAGAGAGAGAGAGAGAGAGAGAGAGAGAGAGAACGAACAATGGAGAGGCAAAGAGAGGAAGAGAGAGAATCCCAAGCAAGTTCCCAGCTATCACAGCAGAGCTGGACATGGAGCTCAAATTCATGAACCATAAGATAATGACCTGAACAAAATCAAGAGTCAGACACTTAATCAACTGAGCTTTTCAGGTGCTCCCCATTTTGTTCTTAATACAGATCCATATCCTGTTTTCTTGAGTAAAGAGGGAGAGAGGGACACCTGGTTGGCTAAGTCAATAGAGCATGCAACTCTTGATCTTGGGGTTGTGTGAGCCCCACATTTGGTATAGAGTTTACTGAATTAAAAATATTCAGAAAGAAGGAGGGAAATGTGAGCACCCAATAAAATTTGGAAAGTTTGCAGGACATTTAACATAGTGCCTGATATTGTAAAATCTCAAGTAAAATATATTGACTTAATTCATATAGAAATGTATAAAGTTTAGGAATATCATATAGCCCATATGAAATCAAGTATTTTACTTATCATACTTGAGTAAAAAGTCACCAAGTATTTTATTTTTTTTTTTTTACTTCAACACATTCTGTGATGGCTGAACAGAGAAAAAATGCAAACATGGAATCTGGGGTTAAAATTATTTTATTCAACTTATTTTATTAAGCAATCAGTCAGGCTATTTATTTCCCAGATAGCTGCATTGGGCTCTGAGCTGACCGTTCAGAGTTTGGAGCTGTTTTGGATTCTGTGTCCCCCTCTCTCTCTGCCCCTGCCCCGCTCACACTCTCTGTCTTTCATAAATAAACAAACATAAAAAATAGCAAAATAAACTAATGGGACTACAATAAAATAAATAAAGTTTCAGCATTGCAAAAAACAAAAAAAAATACAAATAACAAAAACAAATCTAAACTAACAGGCAACTTACTATATGGGAGAAGATATCTACAAATGGCATATCCAATAAAGGGTTAGTATCCAAAATATATAAAGAACCAATACAACTCAACACCAAAATACCTAGGAATAAACCTAACCAAAAATGTAAAAGATCTGAATGCTGAAAACTATAGAAAACTTATGAAGGAAATTGAAGAATATACAAAGAAATGGAAAAAGATTCTGTGCTCATGGATTGGAAGAATAAATATTGTTAACATGTCAATACTACCCAAAGCAATCTACAAATTCAATGCAATCCCAATCAAAATTGCACCAGCATTCTTCTCAAAGCTAGGACAAGCAATCCTAAGATTTGTATGTCACCACAAAAGACCCCGAATAGCCAGAGTAATATTAAAGAAGAAGACCAAAGCAGGAGGTATCACAATCCCAGACTTTAGCCTCTACTACAAAGCTGTAGTCATCAAGACAGCATGGTATGGGGACAAAAACAGACACATAGACCAATGGAATTGAATAGAGACTCCAGGATTGGACCCACAAAAGTATGGCCAACTAATCTTTGACAAAACAGGAAAGAATATCCAATGGAAAAAAACAGTCTCTTTAAAAAATGGTGCTGGGAAAATTGGAGAGCAACATGCAGAAGGATGAAACTAGACCACTCTTTTACAACATTCACAAAAACAAACTCAAAATGGATAAAGGACCTGAATGTGAGCCAGGAAACCATCAAAACTCTAGAGGAGAAAGCAGGAAAAGACCTCTCTGACCTCAGCCTCAGCAATTTTTTACTTGACACATCTCCAAAGTCAAGGGCATTAAAAGCAAAAATGAACTATTGGGACCTCATGAAGATAAAAAGCTTCTCACTGCAAAGGAAACAATCAACAAAACTAAAAGGCAACCAACAGAATGGGGAAAGATATTTGCAAATGGCATATCGGACAAAGGGCTAGTATCCAAAATCTATAAAGAACTCACCAAACTCCACAAATAATCCAGTGAAGAAATGGGCAGAAGACATGAACAGACACTTCTCTAAAGAAGACATCTAGATGGCCAACAGGCACATGAAAAGATGCTCAACGTCACTCCTCATCAGGAAAATACAAATCAAAACCACATTGAGATGTGAAAATGTCAGAGTGGCGAAATGAACCAGTCAGAGTGGCGGCTGGTGCACCAGTCAGAGTGGCGAAAATGAACAAATCAGGAGACTATAGATGCTGGAGAGGATGTGGAGAAACAGGAACCCTCTTGCACTGTTGGTGGGAATGCAAACTGGTGCAGCCACTCTGGAAAACTGTATGGAGGTTCCTCGAAAAATTAAAAATAGATGTACCTTATGACCCAGCAATAGCACTGCTAGGAATTTACCCAAGGGATACAGGAGTACTGACGCATAGGGGCACTTGTACCCCAATGTTTATAGCAGCACTTTCAACAGTAGCCAAACTATGGAAAGAGCCTAAATGTCCATCAACTGATGAATGGATAAAGAAATTGTGGTTTATATACACAATGGAATACTACTTGGCAATGAGAAAGAATGAAATATGGCCTTTCGTAGCAACATAGATGGACCTGGAGAGTGTTATGCTAAGTGAAATAAGTCATACAGAGAAAGACAGATACCATTGTTTTCACTCTTATGTGGATCCTGAGAAACTTAACAGAAGACCATGGGTGAGGGGAAGGAAAAAACAAGTTAGAGAGGGAGGGAGCCAAATCATAAGAGACTCTTAAAAACTGAGAATAAACTGAGGGTTGATGGGGGATGGGAGGGAGGGGAAAGTGGGTGATAGGCATTGAGAAGGGCATCTGTTGGGATGAGCACTGGGTGTTGTATGGAAACCAACTGGACAATAAATTTCATATTAAAAAAAAAACAATACAACTCAACACCAAAAAAAAAAAAGCAAAAAAACAAAAACAAAGAATCCAATTAAAAAATGCGCAGAAGACCTGAAGAGAGATTTGTCCAAGGAAGAAATATAGATGGCCAACAGATACATGAAAAGATATTCAACATCACTCATCATCACAGAAATGAAAATCAAAAGTATAATGAGATACCACTTCACACCTGTCACAATGGCTTAAATCAATAACACAAGAAACAACAATTTTTGGTGAGCATGTGGAGAAAAAGGAAACCACTTTCAGTATTGGTAGGAATGCAAACTGATGCAGCCATTGTAAAACATTATGGAGGTTCCTCTAAAAATTAAAAATAGATGGAACTGGAGGGTATTATGCTAAGTGAAATTAGAGAAGGACAAAAATCATGACAACTCATATGAGCACTTTAAGAGACGAAACAAATGAACATAAGGGAAATAAAAATAATATAAAAACGGAGGGGGACAAAACATAAGAGACTCATAAATAGGGAGAACAAACTGAGGGTTACTGGAGGGGTTATGGGAGGGGGGATGGGCTAAATGGGTAAGAGGCATTAAGGAATCTACTCCTGAAATCATTGTTGCACTATGTGCTAACTAATTTGGATGTAAATTTAAAAACATAAAAAATAAAAAAAATTAAAAAACAGTATTACCATATGTTATACTAATTCCATTACTGAATATTTACCCAAAGAATACAAAGAAACTAATTCTAAAAGATATATGCCATACATACAATTGGAATATTATAACACACATATATAATTGGAATATTAGTGATATATATATACATATGTATGCATATATATATAACTGGATTATTATATACATATATAATTGGATTATATACATATATAATTGGATTATTATATACATATATAATTGGATTATATATATATGCATATATGTAACTGGATTATTATATATATATATACACACACACACACATACACACACATACATATATACAATTGGAATATTACTCAGCTGTAAAAAAGAATGAAATCTTGCCATTTGCAACAACATGGATGGAACTATAGAATATAATGCTACATTAATAAGTCAGAGAAAGACAAATACCATATGATATCATTGTTTTGTGGAATTTAAGAAACAAAACAAATAAATGAAGAAAATAATTTTAAAAAAAGGCATACTCTTACAGAGAACAAACTGGTGGTTGCCACAAGGGAGGTGGGTAAGGAAATGGGTGAAACAGGTGAAGGTCATCAAGGTACACATACCTTGGGGCACCTGGGTGGCTCAGTCGGTTAAGCCTCTGACTTCTGCTTAGGTCATGATGTGGCAATTCTCACGTTGGGCTCTGTGCTGATAGCTTGGAGCATGGAGTCTGGAGCCTGCTTGGGATTCTGTGTCTCCCTCTCTCTCTCCTCTCTCTCTCAAAAATACATAAACATTAATTTTTTTTTTAAAGAGTACACTTACCTTGATGAGCAGTGAGCAATATATAGAATTGTTGAATCCGGATATTGTACCTGAAACTAATAAAATGCTCTATGTTAATTATACTGGCATTAAAATTTTTAAAAAGATTTAGAAAAAAAATGAAACTAATAAAATGCTCTATGTTAACCATACTGGCATTAAAATTTGTAAAAAGATAAAAAATAGTGTGCTGAGACTCACACAAAAAACAACTTTATAGAATATTATAGGTACATTCTCTAAGACTCAAACTTAAGACTTTGCTGGGGTTTTTTTGTTTTTTGTTTTTTGGGGTTTTTTGGGGGGGCTCATAATTATGGGTTCTTAATACAAGTTCCATTGCTAGAATTTTTCTAAAGTGAATGCATATTATCCTATTCATTCTTTCTCATACCAAATGTATTCATAAGTCTGTTGAGCTTTGCTTTTGAAAGAAACCCATTTCTAGAACAGAATGGGAGTAAGAAGCAAAGGTGAGAGAATTTGTCAGTTTTGAAATACATTCCATTAACTGATTTCCTTTTAAACAGCTTGATTGTCAAGACTACTTTTGTTATAATTCATCCATTCTGGTGATAAATAGAAATTAAAAACCAAAGAGGAGAAAGCCTGAGAAAATGAAGTAGAGAAAAACAAAAATATTTTAACAAATTGAGGGAACTTTTAAACAAAGGAGCATAGTTGGAGAATATCTTATACATTTGAAGGATAGATTTCAAGTACTAAACTGACATTAGAGGAGTAAAAAGGTGAAATGAGGTTACAAAAAAAGAAATCTCATGATGCTGCCTAGAACTAACCTAGTATGAGTTATTGTTTGGGTTTTACCTTATTAATTGTGTGTATAAACTCTGTGGTTATAATATCATCTGACTGAATCATAATTTAAAGAAATTTAATGTAGATGCATCTTTCAAAGGCACAATACCGAGGAGTAGATTTATTATGAATGCAGCTGTTTGGAGCTCATTAACTTAGAAGGATTGAGGTATGTTTAAAACTTTGCATCAAAATGAGTGAGAAACTTGCAATATAACAAAACAAGTCAGGTAGCTACTTGCTTCAGGTGAATCCTTTGATATTATAAAGAACTCCCACAAGTCAGATAGTTGATAAATGTAAAAACACCCAGTAGTGAATTACCTAGGAGCACAGTCTCTGACAAACTTCAAAATACCTAATCTGATGAGTAATGTAGAATAAATTAATTTGCATAAGCAATGTAGTATACACAAAATTTGCTTTTTTAAAGACTTAGCTTGTGTGTAGGGTATTTCATGTTTGTTATGATTTAAAGTATATAAAGAAATTCTAGCTCCATTACTTCCTTCCATTTATTATTAAATCTTTCAACAAAGTTGTTGAATTTCCACCTCTTAATGCTCTCTTGTGAAGGTGATTTTCTTCCACTTTCTGCTTCCACTTATGATGCAGAAGATGAAAAGTTTATCTCCCAACCTACCAACAAGAAAAAGATAAAGTGTAAATCCATAACTCTTCTTGTAACCATCAGAAGGTGAAGGTTGCAGTGTAAACAACTAGCCAGAAACCCATGGAAAAAGGCACCGCCAAAGAGATATGACTTGAAAATTGTAGATAACCTAGGGCACAGAGCAGCATAGGTAAGATTTCAGCTAAAATTTTAAACAATTGCTAAGATAATGATGTAGGTGAACCAACATGAGTTCGTTCCTTGCTGAGTCAGACACCATACAGGTTGAGTTGTTACATAAAGAAAACTTTTATTTGCAGCAAATAAGGAGATATCTCAGGGAATGGCTTCCAAAACCATGACTTTCCTAGAGAGGGTGAATAGGTTCCTTTTGTTTAGGTTCAGGATAAATATTTAGATAGCAAAGCCTTGTCATCCTTTGTAGAGGTGGGCATAAAGTCACATTGTATGTTATGTAAGTGGGGCCGAGTCCCCTCCTTGGGCAGATATGTTAATATTATAATGAGGTAAAGGTAATTACAGGTCATTCCAGAGCTCATTCCCTGGTCCATCTGCTCAGGAAAGAGTCAGATTTAGCTCAACCTGTTTGGGTGGTTTGGGCAGGTTGGGGTTGGGTAGATTTTGTGAGGGTAGTTGCCATCACCTTGGAAGTGGTTTCAGGTCTCATTTTCTGAGTTAAGAAGAAAGATGGAAAGAAGAGCTTAAGGGAAACTTTAAGATAAAGGTTAGTGAATACAAATAGGTATTCAGTAAAGACCAGGTCTTGGGGTCTAGCTGGTGACAATTTAAGTTAATGTGAGAGTATAGAATTCCTGGGAGTTACAGAAATGAGACAAATTTGTTCCAACTTGTAGGCTCTTCACAGATCCCATTATGTGCATCTGAGGATTAGGGCCAGAGAAATAGTATTAGACCTGGGTGGGGTAGAAACCACCATGATTGGAGCAACAAAAAACTGTCCAGAACTTGATGCCCTAAGGACAAAAAAAAGCTTAATCCCCTTGGTGAGAGTAAAGACTGAGATCCCAATGACAGATGAAGATCCATTGCAACTGGGGGAAAAGAACAGAGAAACATGAGCAAACAAAACAAACAAAAAACACTACATGTGGGAAAGGGTAAGTAGATGTACTGGGTCCAGGCAACTGGACATCTAATGCTGAGGAAAAAACACTAAGAATAGTTAAGAAGATAAACACATTTGAAGTTTCAGACTTTTTTAGTAATCAATTTTTTAAAATATGCGGAAAAAATTTTAAAAAATAAAAAGTAAACAAAATCATTATGTATAGAGAAGATCGAAATATTATCAACCAATCTGACCTGATTATTTGCAATCCGTGCAAACAACACAATACACATTCTTTTCAAATGCACATGGGATATTTCCCAAATAGTCCCCACTCTTCCCCTCTCTCCAAAAACAAAAACAAAAACAAAAAACCCACCTTAACAAATTTAAAGGATTACAATCATTCAAAGTACATTCTCAGATTAAAGCAGAATTAACCTAGAAATCAATTATAAAATATATCTTAAAATTTCCCAAATATTGGGAAATTAAAATTACAAAAAAACATATAGTCAAAAGAAAGTTAAAATGAAAATTCCAAATATTTGAATTAAATACAAATGAAAACACAACAAATCAAAACTTGTAGGATGCAACTAAAACTATTCTCACAGAAAAATAAATAGTATCAAGTCCTCATAAGAGAGGAGAGAAAAGGTCTTAAAATAATGACTATACCTCTATCTTAAGAAACTATTGAAAGAAATTAAAATTACATACAAAGCAAGTGTAAGGAAGGGGATAATAATGATTAGAGAAGGTGATAATGACAATGAAACCAGAAAAACATTTCAGGAAATAAATGGAAGTTGGTTCTTTGAAATGATCAATAAAATTGATGGACTTCCAGCTAGTCAGAGCAAGATAGACACCTATTACCAAAATCAGAAATGAGAGAGAAGACATTAATACAAATCCTAAAGATTAAAATGATATTTAGGAAAAATGGAAATTAGGATACATTAAGTACAATTTTATGCCAATAAATTTGACAAATAAATTTCATGAAAAATGCAAACTTCCAGTGCTCACTTGAGAAGTTGTGGCTTTGCCAGCTCCTCTGGTTCTGGGTCTCTCACATTTCTACAGTCAATTATGGCTTGGCTGGAAGTTTCTGTGCTCTTGCTCACACATGCTGTTATTGGCAGGATTTAGTTTCTGTACACTGTTGGATTGAGGCCTCAGTTCCTCATGAGCACTTGCCTGGAGGACTCCCCAGATTCTTTGCCCTTTGGACTGCTTTATAAATCATCTAACAACATGGCATCTTGATCCACGAGAGCAAGCAAGAGAGAGGACATGAAAAAAAAAAAAAAATAGCAAGACTAAGCTATAGTCTATTATAACCTAATCTCAAAAATGACATCCTATCAACTTTGCCATGTTCTGTTTATTAGAGGAAAGTCACCAGGTCTAGCCCATATCAAGGGGACAGGATAATAAAGTCCATGAATAACAGGATGTAGGGATCATTGGAAGTCAGACTTGGAAGTTGTTTACTACAGAAATGATATCAATTCTAAATAAAGTCTTTAGAAAACAGAGGAGGAGAGAATACTTCCCAATATTTGATGAAGCTAGGATTACTATTGGTATCGGTGAAAGACAAAATAAACAAAATGAAAATCTAAGCTAAAGACCAATATACTTCATGAATATAGGATGCAATAATCTTCAGTAACATAAAGCAATGCAAATTTACCAATATTTAAAAGGTAGCTCATCCAAGAACAAGTGAGACTTATGTTGGATGTGTAAGACACATTCAACATTCAAAAATTAATCAATGAGATGCATCACATTAAAACACCAAAGAAAATTTATATAATAATGTTTGATAGAGATATAAAACATTTGGCAGCATTCAGTATCGATATGTGATTTTTAAAACAGCAATTTAGGAACAGGAAGGGAATACTTCATCCTGATCATGTGTTTCCAAAAATAATATATATTTATGGCATTTGTTGGTGAAAAACACAATCTACATGCAGCAAATGGCAAATTGGACATGAAAATTAAAAGTATCTGCTCTGCAAAAGAAATTGTTAAGAAAACGAAAGAAAAAGCCATAGACTAGGAGAAATATTTTCAAAACATATAACTGATAAAAAACCTAGTGATTGACACTTGACTGACCTTCACAATAGCTGAGACTGATGAGAGTTTATGTATTTCCACTGATATCAGTATATGCTTGTGTATAAAAACATGCACTTTCAGAAGGGCCTGTGGAATATGGTTCCTGAAAATCCAAAGTGTTCACAACTCTGAATTACAGTTCCCTCAATCTAAGATGTGTGAGTACACTTTATCCTTT